ACGTACTCACATATCGAACTGCACATAGCATTGGGCATACAAGGTGCATTCATTTATATATCTCCAAGTGCATGAACCTTATTTCTTTATCCACTTAATTCCATATGAATTAACTATGATAGTATAAGTAAAAACCTTGAAGAAATCCGTATTTCATGAAAGTATTGCTGATATGAGCATGGTGTGTGGAAACCCACTTTATCAAGCAAATTCATTGATTATTGAAATTTCAATCAACATTCATTCTGGTATCCAAAAAATAAAAACAAAACGCTGAAGCAATACTTTTGGTGCACCTCTGAGGGCAAAATACTACACATTCGAACATGGCCAAGTACACAACAAGTTACATACCAATCAATAGTAGTAATTCAATTCAAATTTATTTTTTTTTTTTTTAAATACAGAAAGTAAAAGATAATTTAACGAAGAATATATTTAGGCCAACAATATATAGAGTTCCTTCATGTGGCACCATTGAATGCTCAGGCTTAAAACAGTAACAGCCAAAGAGGAAACAGAAACTAACGTTATCTCCTTCGTTCAGGCATTCGATTGCCTGAATGGTACCGGAATAGCAGGATAAAAAAGTAGTAAAAAAACAACAATTTAATTTATTTACTATAAATTAAATCCAGCATATGTTGTCATATGGACTACATAATTACTGAAGAATGCTGAAGTACTAAATACATTTGTAAATAACAAGTTAATAAAATAAGAATTTTGGTAGTGACCTTTTTAATTTTTAAATGCTTTTAACTCCACTTTTTAAAAGTACAGGTTTAGGCCATTTAAGTGTTACCAACTACACACAAGTACCATATATCTGTCAAACTGATATTGCCAACTACGTGAAATTCATACGAATGACAGCCGTTTATATTATTTACAGGCTATCACAAGCATTTGCGTCTAAATTTTTCACAACAATAGTTATTCGAAATGGAATAACTATTTGTGAGCTCAACCACCTCCAAGTGAAGAAAATGTTTGTGTATCGTATCATAAGTCGATATAATAATACAGACGGCGTCACCAAACGCTATGATGATGGACGAATAGAAGCAGCAACATTACCTGAAGTGGTTCGGAAAGTGAATGCTTGACTCGAAAAGAAATCCACGTCGAAGTAGTTTTCCAATGGCCAAAGAACTGAAAATATCCCACCGAAGCATCCGAGTCATGGCTTTCTTATTCGCCAGATGCTTATCCGATGGAATATTTCTTTCGGACCATTTTGGAAAACAAGTTGATTGCATGACATACTAAATAAGCCAGTATGAATTTTAAGTAATCAGAGCATCTGCTACTACAAACAACCACATTGTGATCTTACAGTATTTGATTGAAATTATAGTAAAGTAACGTTTGATATTGACAAAAAATGGATATAATAATTTGCATAAAAACCAAGGTTTTGGTTAATGTGGTAACTATTTTCCACATACATACAGGATTACAATCGAAATTAAAAAATTATGTATTAACCAGATATGGAAATACGATATGGTTAAGAACAGTACTATTCACAATAAGTAGTTTCTTATCATAAGAATAATTTATGTAAATTATGTATTAAAACTCACTAACTTATATACAAATGCCTACAGCAGTATGTTTATAGTGATGGATGCTATATTTTACACAATTTGTCAGAGGCAATTACCTTATATATATATACATAGGTTAAACTATGCAACTTGTAATCAAACTAACAAAACGAAAAATTATTTATATCAAATGACTAATTAGTGTCTTAAAGTTGATTACAGTTTCTTCTAAAACCAACCTAGATAAAATATGTATTAAATGTTTTTCATTCCCATATGTACTATTTGATCAAAAAAGAACGAGAAGTTAAAAAACGCAAAATTTTAATTTTTAATAATTTTACTTATTATCGCCTTTAAAGTACTCTCCTCCTGCGGCAATACATGCATGCCAACGCATGATCCAATTTTCCATACAAGTTTTATACGCCTTTGGTTCGCGCAGCGAATTCTCTTTTATGGCCTATATGGTCACAAAACGCAAAGGCAATTTGGGTCGGGGAAAGAGGAAAAAGTCACACGGGGCCATATCTGGAGAGTACGGTGCTTGATTGATGATATTGGTGGAATTTTTGGCCAAAAACTGCGACACAACTAACGCTGTGTGAGCCGGAGCGTTGTCGTGGTGTAAAATCCATGAGTTTTCCTGCCATAAATCTGGCCACTTTTTGCGAATGGCCTCACGCAAACGACGCATAATCACCAAATAATACTCCTTATTGACCGTTTGACCGACCGGAAGGAATTCATAGTGCACCACACCACGAATATCGAAGAAAACAGTCAACATAACCTTGATTTTGGACCGACTTTGGCGTTCTCTTTTCGGTTTCGGCTCACCTTCGAAGCACCATTCGGTCGATTATTGTTTGGGGGGATATGTCAAACTTATAAACCCATGTCTCATCACCAGTTATGATGCGTTCGATGAATGTGGGGTCACTATTTGCATTGGAAATCATCTCTTTAGCCACATCACAACGACACTTTTTTTGAATGAAATTCAGCTAAAAATCGCCAGACGAAAATTTTTCGACTTCTTTGTATAGACGCCAAACAAAAACTAATCGTACGATATGCCTTAAACTTTGACAGAATGTGTATAATAGTGTTGCCAGCGTGAAAATAAAAAAAATTTACCGATTGGATAAGCGCGGGGATTCAAAAAAAGAACGAATAAGTTCCTTTTTGATAACAAGGTATATATATATAATACGTAATTTAAAAATTGTTTAGTATAAAAACGTTCAGGCTAATAGTACATTTCCTCGACTTCGTTAGATCAGTTAACTTACTTCAGATTAAAGTAATTCAAGCAATCTCAACCAAGTTAACTGGTCTAACGAAGCCAGTACATTAAACTGAATTTAGTTTAATGTACAAAATATAGTACTAGGCTAAAACATTAGTTGGTTCCTCCTTTTATATATTATTAAATCAAATTTTTCGTGTCATTTTGTATTATTAGTTAAGTAACGTTTAAAACATTTATATTTGCAGGATTTATCTTTTATTAATATCTGAGATAACTTCGCAATGTATATCTCTGCAATACTACGAAAGATGAAAAATAATCATTTACCTAAAATGACAATTTTGTGAGCTTAATTTTATAACATGAAGCATTTTAGGCATTATGAAATGTTGTCAATCAAAAGTCACCTCATCACAAGCGGTGGCATTTTATTTTGTGCCAAGTGACAGCATATAATATTGGCATAAGTTGACTCACATTTTTATCTTGAAAATGAATTTAAAAGCACAAAAAAACAGAAAAAACATGAAAAACGAAAAAATTACATAAATTGATGTTGCTACTATTTTACCTCATAACGCATAGGAGGATAGCTGCTGTCTGAGCTCTGCTGTTGCTTCGCTTGCTTTATGGCATCATAGAAGAGTGCCACATTGAAATTGAGGTCGGGTAGGCATAGAAGGGTGGTGCAAAATAAATAAGATATTACCAACGAGCTTACAATGAACACAGCCACACATAAACCAACCATTTACATCAGATTCAGATCAGCGAACAACATTCAACATCACTCAAGGCTGTCAGGATTAAGTTGAATTACCTGGCGTTACGCGTGCTTTTCCGTATTTTCTGTGCGCGACTATAAAATGTATATTTGGATTTCATTTTTCATTTCCGTTGTCCCGAGGCAAGAGGCAATTGTGGCGTTCAAGCAGCAACTGCTGCTCCAAAACACAACCAACTCCAGCCCACAGCCCACAGCCCACAGCCCATAGCGCACCACACACAACACACAACACACAGCGCTCAAAAAGTACCAAAGCACTAACAACAACGTCACTGCCAGCATCCGTGTGTGCGTGGGGCGCCAACGCCATTGTTGTGGATTTATTTAAAATATTTATGCCATTTTTATTCTGCCGTAAATGTTAAACACACACACTTCACACACACACACACACACATGCATATGTGCTCTTCACATAAAATCCTTTTGTACATGCTTTAATCCTTAAATGGCAAATAAACTTATATGCTGTAACTCGAAATCGGTGTTGCCACTATTTTCCATGTGCTACCGCTACCACTGTTGCTGGTACACTGAATCCGATTCCGATTCTCGTACTGGTTCTGCTGCATTACAGATTCAACTGGTCCTTTTGTCACATTTGTACAGAAATTAAAAATAACAAAAAAAAGCTTCAAAAGCCAAGTTAAATGTATAAAAAGTCCTTTTACATATGCAAACACATGTGCCAGTGTGTCGAATCCTTTCGCATGCGTATCCATCGGTGTTTATATATTTTATTTATGGTAATACATTGAAACGAATTTTCATGGTAGTTTGTTGCTGGAGCGGAGCGGTTACCAAAACGTTTTAGTTGTCAACATTTGTATCGATTGCAACTGATAAGGACACTTGTTGCTGACTAAACGATTTTTAATGTTAACAAATATTTGTGGAACATTTTTAGTAATTTTAATTATTTTTAATTTACTCTATTTTACAATACCGAAACCGAAGTCCCAGACACCTACTATCATACACACCGCACAACATGCCTTTAGTTTTCAGCTGGGAATGGGGATTTATTATTTAAATAAAAGCTTATACTCGTAAGTAATTTAATAATATAACAAAAATATTTCACAGCACTACTACTGTGCGGGTTGAAATAAATATATGTATTTTAAAACTATATAACTTATTTGACCAAACATCTTTCATCTTTCAAAAGCGATACTCAGTTAATTATATAAATCATAAAGAGAGATGTAATTAAAAATATATTCAATGAATCCTGACATATATATTTTAAGTAATCTTACTATTACGTCTTGTATTTTAGGTAATCATGCTAGGAGACCAA